TCTCAAGCTGTTTATCACACGGGTGAACATCTGGCTTGAGGCCCATAGCAGAAAGTGCAGTATAAGATTCTCCTCATTAATCCTGCAATGCTGCCAAAGGAGGGTTTTAACGCTGTCCCAAAATCTGAGAGATTAGCATTTTTTTTAGTTTATTACATTTTCATTCCTCCCATCTAATTTTATTTGACATCAGGCAGTAACGAAATCCTGTCCGCAGCTGTTATTTGACACAAATCTTTTCTGCGGTTTTAAAAGCTGAAAACCCGCTGCCCGAGTAGCTAAGTTGCTAAAGCCGATTGGGTGTTGTCAATTGGGGTTGAGAAAGCACTGGAAAATGTCAGTGAAAATATCACCTCGCACTGGAAGAAGTGCCTTGAGATGACAGGTATCTCACATCACCTCAGAACTTAGGTTTCATCAGTCGGTGTGACGGAGGTAGTGTCCCTGGAGGAGATGTACTTTATGTCTAGATGGACACAAGAGAGGGATAGAAGGGAATGGGAGGGAGTAAGGGATGGAGGCCCACGTGGAGTATAAACACCGGTCCGGACTAGTTGGGCCATATGGCCTGTTTCCGTGTTGTACATTCCATGCTTTGCTCTTTCCTTTCCTCTCACTCCCTCCATGAACCCCTCCAACCGGGTTTCCGTGCTGCCCATAGCATGGAAACTGCTCTGGTCAAGGTCACAAACAACATCCTGACCATGTGTGACCAGGGCTCCCTCTGCCTCCTCGACCTCTCCGCCATCTTTGACACCGTGGACCACTCAATCCTCCTCCACCACCTCTTCTCCCAGTTCTATCCTTGACTGGTTCAGGTCCTACCTTTCACATCGCCTCCACTTCGTCGCAGCAAACAGCTTCTCCTCCAGCCCCCGCACCATCTTGTGTGGTGTTCCTCAGGGCTCTGTCCTCGGACCCCTTCTCTTCACCCTCTCCATGCTCCCCCTTGGTGACATCATCCGCAGACATGGGGTAAATTTCCACATGTATGCGGACGACATCTAACTCTACCTCTCTGCTTCCAACCTGAACTCGAGGACTACTGGCGTCCTGACCGATTGCCTGTCTGACATCAAGTCCTGGACGAGGGACAACTTTCTCCAACTCAACGTCAGCAAGACCGAAGCCCTCCTGATTGGCTCGCGCCAGCGCCTCCGCACCTCGGGCACTGGCAGCATCAGCCTCCACGGCTGCACACTCAACCTCACTAAGCCAGTCAGGAACCTGAGTATCTTGTTTGACCCTGAACTGTCCTTCTCCCCCACATCCGCGCCACGACCGGCACCGCCTACCACCACCTCCGCAACATTGCCATACGCCGCCACTGCCTCACCCCTCAGGCTGCCGAAACCCTCACCCACGCATTCGTCACCTCAAGGCTTCTCATCGGCCTTCCCAACTCTTCCCTTCACAAGCTGCAGATCATCCAAAACTCTGCAGCTTATGTACTCTCACACCAGGCTCCGTGACCCCATCGCTCCCACCCTCGCCCGACTCCACTGGCTCCCCATCCCCCAGAGGCTCGAGTTCAAGATCCTCATCCACACCTTTAAGGCCTTGCCTCCTCCTACCTCTCTGACCTGCTGACTCCCTACCAACCTGCCCGCTCTCTTCGTCCAGCGGGCTCCGGTCTGCTCCATGGCTCCCGCCCGACCCGCCCTACCATCGGTGGCTGGGCTTTCGGCCTCTCTGTCCCCACGCTCTGGAACTCCATCCCACGGTCCCTTCCCCTCGCTTCCTCCCTTGCCTCCTTCAAGGCCGGTCTCAAGACCCTTCTCTTCGACCACCTCTTTGGTCGCCCTCCCACCTCTCTGACTTCCCTCACCTCTACACCACCCCTCCCCCATGCTCGGGTCCTGACATCTAACTGTTCAGCGCTTTGGGACATCCTCCCGACGTGAAAGGCGCTCTACAAATGTAATTTTGTTGTTGTTGTTGTAGCCCCATCATTCCCAATAAGCCAGTGATCGTGCTTCTGATCAGCATCCAATGACCTCTGCTAAAAGTGTAGATTTGTGGAGCTCAGGCAAGGACAGGATCAAGGTCAGCTTTGATGCCCTCCACAGTTGAACAGCTTGCCAACACCAGGCTAACACATAAAGAATTGCCTCTTTTGATTAGTTTCAATAGGGCAACCAACACTCATCGAACTATACCTTAGTATGATTCACCGCCTTCAAAAAAGGAGGGAAAATAATTGGGGGGAGAGGGGGTGTGGGTGGTGGCAGAGTAAGGGGGGAATTGAAAGAGTTAATTACTTTCTTTTTTGCTTGTAGAAGAGATTTCCACCAGGCTCCGTGTTACTGCAGGAGATTTCATTCTGCTAGCTGCTTTCGGCTGCATTTAGAACCCAGCAAAAGTCCTTGGTGACCAATATAGTGAACTTCCTGAAATCATGTAGATAATATTTAAGCATGAAATGTTTCATTTCAAGGTTAAAATTCCATTATAGGGGAGAAAACCTGAATATGTTGATTACATTCCTAAACCTTTTAAAGACAAATTTTCCAAACATACAAATGCACCAAAGCCCCTTCTTCTACTGTGAATAAATAGTTGCCATTTAATCCCCCCTGCTGTATTTTTTAAAAAAAAACTTTCAGTCTTTCCAGTGTTCTAAAACTATTAATCATTTAAGCTGTGCCAGTGATCAATTCTGCTTGTATGTGTGTGTTTGTATGTGTGTTCTTCTGCAATGAAGGTGCCGAGCCTGAGCCAGGTTATGATGGAGGGCAAATAGTGAGCAAGGTCGAGATGTGGTGAGAGGAGCCTGGGCAGGGTCGAGATCAGAGTGAGAGAAGACCTAATTACGAAACCAGTTACAAAAATAATTTGAATGGTTTTATTCCATTAGGTTTTTTTTTTTGGCTGGGGGGAGGGGGGGGGAAGGAATGAAATGATCCAAAAGCAAAATGTTAGCCACAATGGCTTATTTGTAAATGGCACATTTTCAGTCCCTAAGTTCATTCCAATTGGAGAACCATGCTAGTTATTTCATGTCTGAGTTCAGGTACATGTTTGAGTTAAGAGGTTCATTACACAGAAACACACAGAACATTACAGCATGGAAAGATAACATTCGGCTCAGCTTGTCTGTGCCCGCATTTATATTCCACATGAGCCTCCATCAGCTTAATGCTTTCTCACCCCAATGAGAGCAGCATTGGACACTGCAGCTAGTCACAAGTGACACAGCAAACATTTAATAATTCTGAACACCAAAGAGAGATCAATGAACTTTAACCTTAAGTTTGGCTTATTGTAAAAGCATTCTCATTTGGGTGATTTCTGCAACGTTCCCAGATCATTTCCCCACAACCTAAGAAGCCTCAACTGAGAAATCACATTGAAGGAAAATCGCTTCACTCCGCACGTACTGTCAATTATTTTAAAGGGGTGGCATCCTTTGTGCCCGATTAAAAGTTTTCCATTGGAAAGAAATCTCTCAAAAACATCATGGGCATTTTTCCTTTTTTTAAAAAAATAGCTCCACAAGAAAGATATGCATTCTGTTTCCATTTTTTTTAAAAAAATCATTTGCTTTGAAATTGAGAACACACGTATGGCATGCTTTGAAGTGAACGTTTGTGGGGGTTGACTGAATATGATATTATTGATTTCCATAACTGGTCCCTCTCCTCAAAAAAAATGATATTAATTTATCCAGCACATTAAAGGGAGCCTTTGATCTGAGTTGTCGCAGGAGTTTTCATACATTATACAAGGAGTAATTATTAAGCCATCCCTCTACTGTACAACACGATCAATCTCGTTGAGAGGCACAATCAGCCATGGGGGATGTCTGGGAGCTTTCTTTCTCCTCTTCCAGCCAAAACATTTCGCAGGCTGCGGTCGTAGGTCACCAACTGTCAAAACAAAAACACGGTCTAGAAATTGAATTCCTTTTTGGGAATGTAGCAGAGAGTGAGAGAGAGAGAGCAACAGAGAGAGAGAGCTTCAGAAATAATGAGTTCAATGATATAATATGCCTCTTTGAAGCTGAATGAGAGAGTGGACTCAGAATATCATTTCAAGCGTTAATTCAACACCTTATTCCAACAGGCTTGGAATCCGGAGAATTCGCTCATAAATATTAGGGGGGAAAAAAGCATTCTGTGAGGTAGTGCGCACAAGTCCTGCAAACTGTAGACTATAATAATCCTTGCATTTGATATAGCACTTTTCACATCTTGTCGACGTCTCAAAGCGCTTCACAGAAAAAAAACTTTACTTAAAAAAAACTGCAGGGCCCCAGTGTGCATGTTCCTGATCTGATAAAGAAAGCCACTGTACTTAAGTTGGGGGGAGGGGTTGAGGGAACGATTTAGTCTACGACAGAGTTGGGCTTGGGAAGTTGAGCTGCACAAGATGGATTCCCATATCTGAGTAATTCCAAATCTCTCTTTAAAGTCTCTGCTTTCAAGGGAGTTGTATTTCTTCTTTGCCAGTGGGTGTACAGTTCACCTCCACTCCCCCCTTTCCCAAACCAACCTCATACATACTTCCCGTGCTGTTTGGAACAGCGCAGCCATTTGGCTGGCTGGGCTGAGAGGTGATCTAACACAGTAGCTCTAATCATAGCGGAAGGCAGAGTTAGGGCTGCCCATTCTATTTTTAAACATAGTCTCTTTATAAAATAACAACAATATTACTTAAAAAAAAACTGCAGGGCCCCAGTGTGTACGTTCCTGATCTGATAAAGAAAGCCACTGTACTTAAGTTGGGGGGAGGGGGTGGGGGAATGATTTAGAAAAATCTTTTCACTTTCCCCACCCACCCTTTGCTTTATTCAGATACAAGTCAGGCCTTGCTGACCCAACTGGATGGGACAAACCTTTCAAGCAAATCAAAAGCCCCACAAGCTCTCAGAGGAGAGCTTTGAATGCTGTCATGCTCTTGTCAGATGAAAGCTAATTGTATCTCTCACTGACTGATCCCTCCCCGGCTTTGAAAACTTGCAGATTTCGTTTCACTGGGTGAGGGCAATTTGAAATTCTCTCCAGATGTCAAGGAGCTGCAACTCTGGTGTCTGTAAAGAAAGAGAGGATAAATGTGGAAAAAAAAGTACACAACAAAGAAAGCATACAAAAATAATAAATTCATATCTCACTGCAAGTAGGTGGGAGTCCTGTGTGGGAGGTGGGGTGGTGGAAACTAGCGCTGGTGGTAAGTTCAATAAGCTTGCAGTGCTTGGAAACCGGACAAAAGCACAATCTGATAGTGGTCTTTCCACAGACGATGCAGCCACTACTGACGGACACACACCAGTTATTTCTGAAACAACAAATGAATCAGTGAGATTTAAAGGGCCATTTCCAGATACTCCTCAGGGTGGCCTGAGTGCTTGGAATCAGGCTGGTCTGAAAGCTCAGGTTTACAGCCATCAAGTTAAGTGTCGGGCTGTGGCCAAAGGGAGGACCAGTGATGAGGAAGAAGGAATTCATATTGGCCTTAAACAAACGTTCACCTCGGACAACAAAGTTGCCTCTTTAACCCTTTGAAGAACACAGACGTGTGAAATATGCTTCTCGCTGCAGCCTCCATTTGAACCAGGGTCATGCTCCACTGGATGCAAGATCACAAGACAGGCTCGAATGAAGAAGGCCCTTCAGCCCATTTGATCTCGTCTATCCCAGAATATTTACTCTCCTCTCTTCCCATTATATGGTTAACAGTGAGCAAAGATCACTTGGCACACAGAGCTTTTCTCATCTTGTATTACCCATGCAGTATCCAGTTTATTTTCAATGTTCCTAGTTTTGCCTGTAACAACCTTTCCTGAGGTAACCACCTCTCCAAACAGTTATTACTCCTCATTCATTTTTGTGTTCCACACTGATCTTAAACCTTTTTGAGTTTCCTTCCTCTTCCTAATGCATGATGGCATATGCACTGTTTTGAGTTCACCTCCCCAAATGTTAATATTGCTAATCTCATTTAACGGAGTTCTCCTAATAGCTTAGTGCGTAAATTCACTGTGTGATATGTCACTGAATTGAACACCTCAGAAAGATTGTTTAAGATCAGCTGCCAATACATTCCTTTTTTAATACTGTCCTGGTTTTGCTGCTTCTTGTAAATTCTATCTGTTATTCATCAGTTTGAACCATTATAAGACAAATTTATTGTAACAATATTGTAATGATAATAATAAGTCTTATACTGGATATAGCACTTTGGGACAAACAGTCATGAAGTAAATAATTAATTTTTATCAGGGGGATTACTGGCCAGATCACCGGGAGAAACTCCCTTCTCCTTTTGAATAGGGCCATGGGATCTTTAACATGCACCCGAACAGTCAGATGGGACTTCAGTTTAACATCTCACAATACAGCACACTCTGGTTCTGGAGTATCATTATAGACTCTGTGTGTTTAAAGTCCCAATATGGGGTTTGAACCCACAACTTTCTGACTCTGAGATGAGAGTGCTGAGCCAGGCTGACATGTTTGTAAGAACTCAAAACCCACTAATAAGAACTGCTAAATGTAACTTTAATTGAATCAAAGCACTCTCTGTCATGCATGTTAATATGGTTGTATAATGGGTTTCAAAGGCCCTTAAAAGTGATGATTCACAAAACCAATCCAAGCACAAACCACTGCATCATCTTTATGATATCTGACACCATAGTTTCCCCATCTTTTAACTTGATCAGCCAAAAAAACAGAAAATGGCTGTGATAAAACTGTGAAGGGCCTGATCCCCCTCGCACAATTTTAACAAATCCCTTCATTCTGTAATTCCAATCAAACACAGCATGTGAGATGGACAAGCTTTTGGTGCGAACAATAATCCCGCCTGTTTAAAGTAACAATTTTACATTAAGTAGCACCTTTCATGTCAGGAGGATATCTCAAAGCCAATTGGGAGTTCGAACTAGGGATGGTAGGAGCTGAGGATGGTTTGGGGGTGAAAGGTAATCAAAACCTCGGAGGAAACTAAACATCTTCAGGCTGGTTTGGTCTATTTGGCTTAATTTTACATTAAAACATGTCTTTATTAATTAAGCAATTCTCGGTACAGGCCAGCAGATCAAGACGTAATTTTTAAATCTAACTGTTTAATTTTATTGCTAAGGTTGATAATAGACAGGTCCCTTGGATCACTGATAGTGTTTTCCTACAGATACATAGTCACTACACTCGCCAGCAATAACCTGTTAAGACCTTCTCAGATGTTTTAACCTTATCAATTCGTAGGATCACAAGATTGATTCAGATGAAGAAAGCCCTTTGTCCTATTTGATCTTATCCTTCCAGAATACATCTTCCCATCACAGCATCAAGGTACTTTAAGAATGAATCTGGTGTCCTGGGCTCAACCAGCCTTCCTGGTGACCTGTTCCAGTTATTAATTACCTTCTGCAATTAATATCCAGGGAATTGGAAAGGGACTTAAAGGGAAATGAGGAGATTTTTGTTTTACCCAGAGAGTTGTTACAGGCTGGAATGCACTATCTGCCTGAAAGGGTGGTGGAAGCAGATTTGATAATAGCTTTCCAAAGGAAATTAGATAGGGACTTAAAAAGGAAAAAAATGCAGGGCTTTGGGGTAAGAGCGGGGAGTGGGACTAGTTGGCAGTTCTTTCAAAGAGCAGGCACATGCATGATGGGTTGAATGGCCTTCCTGTACTGTAAGATTCTATGATTCTGAATAAAGTAATACTTCCCGGTGCCGATTATTTAAGGAAAAGAATGCATAGGAATAATTCAAAATCCATGAGTTGCTTGTGGTGAGAGTTATTGTGTTGATCTTGAGATCATACTAATGTGAGTAATGAGTAACTGAAAACAAAAACAGAAGTCACTGGAAACACTCACCAGATCAGGTAGCATCTATGGAAAAAGAAAGTTAATCAACGTTTTGGGTCTACGACCCTACGTCAGAACCGACGGCTCACTTTCCCTTCTCTATAGATGCTGCCTGACCTGCTAAGTGTTTCCAGCGACTTCTGTTTTTGTTTTCAGATTTCCAGCATCTGCAGAATTTTGCATTATGAGTAACTGAATTGGTTTATATCCTGGAAACCAAACATCAAAGATGGGTCAAGTTAGATCTGAAGGTAAATGTGGTATGACCTATATGACCTGACTGTTCATTCAGAGGGCAAATACCACTGAGTTCTGAGAGATTTCTCCCCAGTAAAGGATGATAGCTCTTACGAATGAGAACTCTATAAGAAGGAATTAGAATTATTCCAATATCACCTCAAACTAACTTTGCTCCCTCAATAACAAAAANTTACTGAATACGACCGTTGACATTTTGCACGAACTAACAGAAAATTGAACTCCAAAAGTGAATCAATTAGAAAAGGACATTTTGGGGTTAAATCGGAGAACTCAAGATTTGATGGGCTTATCGCTAAAATAAAACATCAGTACATATGGACATTACTCAGTGTTCCTCTGCACGTATGTGATACCACGTTCCTGTGCCCATCCCCATTGCCATTTGGAAAGAAACAATTTGTCCCTTTTCAAAACACCATATTCTGCCATTGCCTTACTAAATACCATGGCAAGAAGTCACCTCAAATACTGCATATCACATAATAAGTTAGATGCAGACAAAATATACAGTCAATTCACTTTACAGTATATTCTGTGAAGCGTTTTGAGATATCTCGAAGACATGAGAAGGCACTATACCAAATGCAAGGATTATTATTATATTGTTTAAGTGGAGGGGAAAAGGGGGATTTCTATCACAATTGTATCCTACACTTTCTAAAACAATATTTATCACATAGAACTGAACAAATGGTTTTCAATGGATACCAAAAGATTAGTTATTTCTTTGTTCTGTGCTGCATACTACAGAATAATTAAAATGCCTCTAGCCGTTGTGAACTGCTCATTTGAGGTATCTACATTTTGTTCTTTAGTTTGCACCTTTATTTCTTTCCCTGCCTATGCTCGCCATAGATTCCCATAAGTTCAAAGAGTGCAAAGACAGAGCAGAGTCTGCTCTACAGCTTGTAATGCAAAGCTGCTCTTCACTGAACTGTCACCAAGTCTGGTAGGAATGGGGAACGGTGGATAAAGCCTTTGTTGATATACAGTGTGTGACATTGCATACATGTACTTTTCCCCACCTGAGAGCTGATGAAACTCATCACACTTCTGACTTTGAGCACAAAGCAACTGTGAGACTTCATTCACTCACAACCCCAACAAGATGAAATGAAGGTCTTTTTCTCCTGCAGAGGAACCGCTCACTGCAACATGGATTCATTTAACCATAGTGGGTGAAGGGAGGATAACGTCTTACCTCAAGCATTATCAGTGCTTCTGTAATTGATTGATGAAGTGTGCTCTTAAAGTGGAACAGGTCAACTGAACTGTCAGGTCCTCCCTACCCAGCCATCTGCAATAGAATGCCTTACTGCTATGAATACATATAATTTGTCTGGCAGCTTAGATGCACTCTGATACAAGTTATCCCAACTGTTACAGAAGAGATTGAGTGGCAGGCGGTCTTTGGACCAAAGCCTCCAACTACATTTGGACTCCATTATAGGGTATATGTATGTATACATATAGCAAAGGTGCACCGGAAGTGCAGTACACTCTAGCTTCCATCACTAACTGGCTGAATTCCTGCATATTAGCATGCAAGATACAGAAAGCCTCAAAGCAATCACAGTGCCCCAGACAACAACAACTTGCATTCATACAGCGCCCTTCAAGCAGGGCAGTGTCTTGGACACTGCTGGAAATACGCGCAAGTGTGCAGGCTGTCGCATATCGGTGACATAAGCAGAAATGATGTGAGGGAAGTGCTGTGTGGCAGCCAATCTATAGTGTGACCCACTAGAATGTGAGGTCTGATTTTATGTACTCAAACCACCATGTTATAATGAGGTCCGGCTGTATCCGGTTGGACAAGTATATACTGCTTGCACTTCAGACTTAGTTGCAAAGTGGAAGCCGATTGGAGTCTGCTATACACTGTCTTGAATTAGCTGATTTCAGCCAGGGAAACAATTAACCTCAGCGACGTGCGTTAGAAAAGAATACTA